CAGTTATCAATTGAGTTTTCAAAATTCATTATATCAGTAATGATTAAAAATTCCTCAGTATGGAATCAGCCTAAGTGTCCATCAACAGATGAATGGATAAAGAAAATGTAGTGTGTGTGTGTGTGTGTGTGTGTGTATATATATATATATACACACACACAATGAAATACTATTCAGCCTTACACTAGAAGAAAATTCTTTCATTTGTGACAATATGGATGAACCTGGAGGACGTTATGCTAAGTCAAACAAGTCAGTCCCAAGAAATACTGCATAATCTCACTTGTATGTGGAATCTAAAAAAGTTGAACCCACAGAAGTAGAGAATGGTGGTTAGCAAGAGCGGGGGCCTGAGAGCAAGGAGGAGGGTAATGGAGAGATTATTGATCAAAGGTTACAAGGTTTCAGACACATAGAAGGAGTTAAGTTTTGAGACCTATTGCACAGCAGGGTGACTATAGTCAATAACAGTGTATTGTATATTTGAAAATAACTAAGAGAGTAAATTTCAAATATGTCACCATAAAAAAAGATAGGTAAGCAAGAAAATGGATATGTTAATTAGCTGGATTTAAACTTTCCACATTGTATACATATAATCAAAACACCACATTGTATCCCATAAATGTATATTTATAATTTGTCAATAAAAAATATTTTAAAAAATTGAAGTTCCTCAGTTATGTAGAATAACTTCTTTCATTAGTTAGGTGACATAAAGAAATAAAAAATAAAAATTGAGAGGTATTAATGTATCTGTCCTACTTATTAACCAGTTTTTTGATATACAGTATAGCCTCACTTAAATTTTTTTTTTTTTTTTTTTGAGACAGAGTCTCGCTCTGTCACCCAGGCTGGAGTACAGTGGCACAATCTCAGCTCACTGCAAGTTCCATCTCCAGGATTCACGCCATTCTCCTGCCTCAGCCTCCAGAGCAGCTGAGACTACAGGCGCCCGCCACCACGCCCGGCTAATTTTTTTTTTTTTTCTGTATTTTTAGTAGAGACGAGGTTTCACTGTGTTAGCCAGGATGGTCCCAATCTCCTGACCTCGTGATCCACCCACCTCGGCCTCCCAAAGTGCTGGGATTACAGGTGTGAGCCACCATGCCCGGCCAACCTCACTTAAATATTTTATTCAGTGAATCACATTAATGTAG